TACTTTTATCGATTTTATCGATTTTTTTGCAAAGTTTGAGCTACGGGGCTGGGAGTTGGCACAGGGGGGTAATCGAGCATGGGGATTCCGAATACAATATTGGTTTTCAGGATTATCGATTACTTTTATCGATTTTATCGATTTTTTTGCAAAGTTTGAGCTACGGGGCTGGGAGTTGGCACAGGGGGGTAATCGAGCATGGGGATTCCGAATACAATATTGGTTTTCAGGATTATCGATTACTTTTATCGATTTTATCGATTTTTTTGCAAAGTTTGAGCTAGGGGGCTGGGAGTTGGCACAGGGGGGTAATCGAGCATGCTGATCATCCCCAAGGGGGGGTGATCAGCATGCTCGAACACCCCTGTGCCAAATTCCAGCCCCCTAGCTCAAATTTTCAAAAAATCGATAAAATCGATAAAAGTAATGGACGATCCTGAAAACTAATATTGTATTCGTAATCTGCATGCTCGATTACCCTCTGTGCAAACTCCCAGCCCCGCAGGTCAAACTTTGCAAAAAGATCGATAAAATCGATAAAAGTAATGGACGATCCTGAAAACTAATATTGTATTCGGAATCCTCATGCTCACTTCCCCCCTGTGCCAACTCCTAGCCCTGTAGGTGAACTCTGCCAAAAAATCGATAAAATCAATAAAAGCAATCGATAATTATGAAAACTAATATTGTATTCGGAATCCCCATGCTCACTTCCCCCCTGTGCCAACTCCTAGCCCTGAAGGTGAACTCTGCCAAAAAATCGATAAAAATCGGTAAAATCGACATCGATCGATAACGAAAAGTGGACTGTGACACCCGCCGGGGCCCGAAGTGTATGTGTGCCAAGTTTGGTCCGGATACGGCGGAGCCGGGTAAGCCAGCTAGTTGTCTGTATAAATGTCACGTGTGATAGTAACGGGTCTTCATGGTTATTACAAGCATTCACATCCGTTTAATCCTAACACGTTTTTCTAATTGCAATATCTTTACAAGTCGCTGGTTTTTACTATACTGTTCGTCCTACTTGCAACACAACTTTGCTTATTTTCTATTTTACATCTGTGGTCATTTTTGCAAAAACCGGCATCAAACAAGTAGGTTGAATTCGATAATGTTACCACAATATTCAGCATTTGTAATCATTTGTAATCTGTAATACTCACTCTCTGGCCAATGTCCTCAATCTACTACATGCTCATGAGAACATCGCAGAAAGAGTTTGAAGGCATGAATTTGAGCGCAGGCCTGCTGTTAGGTCTATGTCGGGTGCGCTTCAAACACGAAAACTGGAATCTCTAGTTCTCACTTACTAAGCATCTATAAGATAGATGAATCCCTATCGCTTTCAAACCAATTAAAAAGCTGCAGAATCACCCATGAAAACAAATTCTTGATAACAAAATACGCGTGAAAGTATTTTCAAGTGAAAAGAGGCAGATAAGCGTTACTTATAAAAGTATGACACAGCTGGACTAAAGAGACTGTTTTGACTTTTGACTTTGTATGTGCACAAAGGACTTTGGAAGCCGAGAGTTACTCAAGTGGACAGAAACTCTAGATGGATCTATAGTTTTGGCCAGTCTCTAAGCCTGCTTTTGTCAAAGTTTTTGAACTTTTTCGTGAATGATTAAACGAAAGCGGGATCCGTTCCGGTTACTAATGGTAGCCTATCAAACACACTGCTGTACTGAATTTCATCTAAATTTCAAATCAATTCGTTGCAAAGCAGATGAGCTACGGCAGTTTTTAGGGTGGATCTATAGTTCTGTCCAGCACTGTATACCCACTCCTTTTCGAAACTATAGAATATAATAAAACTAGCTGGCTTACCCGGCTCCGCCGTATGTTCCGAATAGAAAATTCCATTTCTTAACCGATCCGGACCAAACTTGGCACACATACACTTCGGGCCCCGGCGGGTGTCACAGTCCACTTTTCGTTATCGATCGATGTCGATTATATCAATTTTTTGCAAAATTTGAGCTAGGGGGCTGGGATTTGGCACAGGGGGATAATCGAGCATGCTGATTACGAATACAATATTAGTTTTCGAAACCGTGCATTACTTTTATCGATTTTATCGTTATTTTGCAAAATTTGAGCTAGGAGGCTGAAATTTGGCAGAGGGGTGTAATCGAGCATGCTGATCACCCCCACGGGAATGATCAGCATGCTCGATTACCCCCCTGTGCCAAATCCCAGCCCCGTAGCTCAAACTTTGCAAAAAATAGATAAAATCGATATCAATCGATACGAAAAGTAGCCTATGACACCCGCCGGGGTCCAAAGTGTATGTATGCCAAGTTTGGTCCCGATCGGTTCAGAAATGGAATTTTCTATTCGGAACATACGTACAGACATACAGACAGACAGACAGACAGACATACATACAAACAGACATTCAGCTTTATATATAAGATTTCAAAATAGCCGAACCTTGAGTAGATAGAAATGACGGATGAAAAACTTTTGCCAGTTATCTGGAATCATTTCAGTGATCACTTGGGAAATAAAACTTCAGAAAAAGAAGGAAAAGCTGTATCGAAAACATTTCCAAACAGTTTTAAATTATTGTACTTTGCTTATCAAGTAGCTCAGTCTAATGGGTATGCCGGTGAGCCTATCCCAAACCCTCGCGGGTTTGTAGGACACAGAGCCAGTTCCGGCAGCCCGGATGCGCCACTAACCAAAATTAGTTTCTGCTTGCCCTTCGTATCGGATAAGATAAGCGCGGCAGTGCGGCGATGCGTACATCTCGCGGGTTTGCAAGACGATGTCAGGGTGATCGATATACCACCCTCGAACCTAAAACGTCAATTGGTCCGAAATTGATCTTACGATCGTACATGCCTAACCCCAGCTTGTGTCGTTTGCCCATTTGGCAAAGAGGGTGATTGCATGATCTCCGGGGTTATTTATCTCATCACATGTTTATCGTGTGGTGATACGTATATCGGAGAAACAGGACGACCTCTTTGCTGCCGTGTTAAAGAACATCTGGATGGGTTAAATAAACTGAAAGCAGTTACGCCGTTAGGCAGCCATCGCATTTCGTGCCATGGAAATGCTGAGATCAGTATTGGAGTGACTATATTGGCGTACGAGCCCGACCTCCTAGCGCGCAAAACTTTGGAAGCGTTCTGGATCAACACCAAGAATCCAAAGATGAACCGGAAGGAAGAGTGTATAGCCATCACCAATGAACTGGCGCCATATCAATACCTCTGTGGGTTTTGATATGAGGTCAGGTCACCTGAGCACTATAAATAGGGGAGGAGGTATAGTGTGAGTATATGGTGGTCTAACACATCAGCACACGTTATCGAAGGTGAGTCTTGGTTACCCGATCTCCCTTTGCCTTTGCCTCTCTCCAATTTGACTTTCGTCTTGAGCTGAGATCTTGGCGTCTAGGAGAATGTTTCACTTATGTTTTCGACTTTCTAGGCTCTGACGAAGGCGATCCCGCCGAAACGTTGGCCGTGAATAAAGTGTGGCTGATATCTTGGTCGACGCTTAGCAAGCTCAAACGATTATCAACTGTTGATGCCAAGATTAATAAACAACCGAAGTTGGACAATATTATACTTGGTGTTTTATAGACTCGAAAAACATAAAATTCTCAAAAAGCCTTCGTCTGAACTCGACATACACCAAATTATTTTATTGTATTAGGTTGTTGCAAAAATAATGTCCGTTTTTCTAGACCTATATTCCAAATAACTTTTTTCCCATCAAACTTTCTTTTTCGATATAGCATCTGCACATCATTGGAAAGCTATGTTTATGCACTTTCTCATGGGGGTGAAATTAAGCTGCTATCCTCACTTGTGAGATTTCACCAGCATTTTCCACATCTGCACTCAAAATCAGAATCTCATAGCTTCCACTTTCTTGACCACAATTCAGGTGCAAATAAACGAATTCTTCTGAAAACATAGCAAGTGTGTTGAATGAAGATTGTTTACCTACTGCGTGCTTATGTAGATTTTTGGAGAAATGTGGACTGAGAAATTGACGCGTCAAAATAGACACTCGCTGCTGGCATTCTATGGGTCAGAAATTTCTCATAATTAAGGCAATCGCCAAAGCTTCGCCCATTTCTGTCAGCTTGAAATTAGCACACCTTAACTACATTATTTGAAGAGAAACTTAGCTATTCAGTGCGTTAAGAATTTCAAATTTTCATAATTAGGCACTTACAAGCCTACAACAAATAGGCTCAAAAAAGTGAACATTTTTGAATTTTTATCTTTTCTTTTCGCAGAACTCCTTCGTTGGAGTTTTCTCTATAAACACATATACTATTGGCCTGCGGCTACAAAATGAGCTAATTAGCAGACATAGGGACAAAGCTTGAAGGGAGTTGTAAGCTCTTGAAAACGAGGTTTTCAAGAGAAAAACTTTCAGTTTTCGGACGCATGGTTTTCTTCCCGTTTGCGATATCAGTATGTGCAGGGGCGCGCTAAGTTAAGAAAGGTTTGATGTTTCTGATGGTCTTGACTGCATTCAAAAATATGGAGACTGAACGGAGTTATAGCCTTCCAAAGTGAAAATGTGCAAAACGGACATTATTTTTGCAACAACCTAATATTTTAATTTGACCTCGAGCAGATGTGGTTTTCAAGCATACTCAGCAGAATTTTTAAAAAATTTTTGCGCAATGCTTAATTAGATTCTGACCTAAAAATCTCTTCCCTGATTTGTTAGTTACGATTTGTTATCTACACCTTATAAAGCAGTCTCCCAAACTCAATTCTCGGACCCGAAATTGCGCAATTTCTCAATTAAGGAGCGCTATTTCTTTCCATATTCTTCTGCCTGTCTATCCTTCTTCGCAGATGATCACTAAGCATTCAGAGGAATTCGATCTCCCAGGTAGCGACTCATTTATTACCATTTTTCAGATTATAAAGGCTTTTGCTGGCATTTTTAACTCTTTTTAATTTCCTCATTTTTTTGTCTTTCTTTTAATTCAAGCACAATCTAATTATCCAAGATAATTTGCTTCATTTTTTGCATAAGTTCGAAGGCGTTCACCAATAGCAGATAGTTAAAGCGTCAGTTCCATTGGCTTGTATGCCCTTTTGCCATTTAGTCTGTAGCTTTTCGGCTTATCTGGAATGACAGATAATGCTCCAAATAACTGATAAAGAATCTCCATAAAAATTTTATATTGAACGGAACGCTTACCATATGTCCTGTAATATAACACCTTACTTCTCATTCTCTTTTTGTCACTGTTTTGATGAGTGAGCGAGTGTGAATGCACCCTCATCATAATGAAAAACAATATGGCAACCCAAAAAAGCGCCAAAGTCACTTTCATAGCCTGGAATATCGAATTCATGACTGACAAGGAGACGACATTGATGCATGGTCATGCAAGAAAAACCATTCGGCATTGTCTAGGTCGTGGGAATCTTAAGTCTTTTCTATCTGCGAACCAAAGCCCAATATATGTTTCCAAGACAAGAAGAAGTATTTTCGAACAAATGCAAAACTTTTGAGCGCGGCAGGAATCGAACCTGTGCATGATGCGTCACAGTATACCCTACTAACCATTGCGCCACGGGGTGCATTGCGTTATTGATTGCACTTGTCACATACCCCTCAGTTTTCGTTATAATGCTTATAACTTTATCTGCACCAATGCTTTGCAGGAATGGAACACAAATTTGAAATCAGCGTTTTGAGATCTACACAACAGTATATGACTGGTGGGCTGTGTATGAAAGCCAAGATAAAAGTGAAGCGATAAGTGTCGAACAATACTTTGCATATTTATTTATATTTTGATGAGATTTATTATCATGCCTCCTACGAAAGCTAATTTCCATACTTTGTCAGACAATGCTCAAGCAAGCCTTTTCACATTAAGATTTGAGCATTGATGATGTAGAATTCAATAGTCGAGATGTTTTCCGAAGGAGCATAAGGTTTCCTTTATGGAGTCCATGGGAATGCGAACTTCACAATTCAATTCTTCAACAACTTGTCTTGCGAAACTGCTTCACTAACATTGTTAACAGTCATAAATAATTTATGTGCATATCTCACAAACTTCGTAGTTTTTTCTACTCATTCGGATTACGGTAAGGAAATTTTGAAATCCACATCTTCTTCAACACAAAAAGAACATCCAACTAGCTAAGCATTCAACAGCTACGTAATAAAATCTGGCCTCAGGCACAAATGGAATGCAATTTTAGAGTGTAAGGAAATTTCTGGTAGCTCGTTCACCCTGGCCCGTAGTAAACCCCACTTTACTTCAGATGATCTCAACTGAGGGGCTGAGTTGAGCTTATTGAGATAAACTGACTAGCGGTCACTCTCACATGCTTAAGAATGCGACTTGATCTGAAGGGTCAGCGTCAGGGCATGTGCCGAGATGAAATCACCTGAAATCCGTAAGAGCAGCCTCGATACTGAGATGAATTGACCGAAATAGTGTGCAAGGGATGAGACGTAGAGAAAAATCTCGTAAGTTGCTCGTGAGTAACTTACGGGACATTGTACTTGACGTATTGTTGCAGTGCAAGAACGCCAAAACTGCACAATACCGGTGCCCAAAAAGGAAAGGATCAATGAAAAGCTGATTTCGGCAAAAAACAGAAGAATAGGTTTTTTCCTTTTTACAGAGTTTGCTTAGGTTTTTTCTACAAAAGCTACTCAGAGCGACAATCTCTTTATTTATTTCCATTCGATTTTGTCCCTACTTCCTCAATTTTTGATAAAATTTTGGTTAAAAAAAACGCAATTTTGTTTTGTGCATTCATTTGGTTTGTGGATTCCTTGATAGCGGCCGTCATCGATTTCCTTCGATAGTGGCCGCTATCAAATATTGCTCAGTGATGCGCAAAAATTCGCCACTGTCCGGCCCCGAACCACGGTCATGCATGCTGAGTACCAGTCACATACCTGTTTGACCAAACCTGCACAAGAGGTTTAGGCGTTTCCTCTTTGATAGCATTGATTTGTAGGCCTGAAGAGCGATCCGCATCTACAGGTTGGCCGAAAAATATGGTCACACATTTTTCGTTCAGTGATTTTTCATAGCAAACAAACTTCTGTAAGACTATTTTTGCATGCCAAAAACACAGGCATCTTAGTGTGTTACTCCTGCTGCAAGACTGGATTCCTGTGCATGCATACAGACTTCAGCAACTTATTTCGAAGTTGATGCGTCAAAAACGCTACTTGAAGAATGTACCCAATGCAAATTCGTTGAAATAACCCGATTATTAGTCGAGTAGATTTTAAGACCTAAGTTTCTGTAGAGCACAGTCCGAGGAATAGCATAGCGCTGTAACAGCAAAAAATCCTCCTCTCCAAAATAAGATACGGTACTATAAATATGTTAACTGAACCCGCCGCAGCGCCTCTCAACAGAAAGTAGACTTAGAAGTCCCGTTTGCATCAGAAGATTTCAGTTCGCGTGATTTTCACTTATCTCAATATAGAGACTGTCCGTAAGCTACAGGTATATTAGCCGCCATGAAAGAATGTTTCAGAAAAAAGATATAATACATGTTGTAGCGGCCATACTTATCGGCCACCCTGTAGATCAATAGCTCGCGAGATGCTAGACCGAGGCGCCATACGATCAACTCAGGTCCGTCTCAGGGCAGATCCCCTGAAGGGGGAGGGGGGTTTACTACGGGCCATAGTCTTTATTAGATCGTTGCTCTGAAACACTGCAGGTCTCATTCAAACTGTGACACATTTAAGTTTTCCCTAGCTCGACTCCCGTTCTTCACTCATTGTTTTGATTTCTTGTGTTTACAGTCTTAATGGTTCTCGCGCGGTTGTGATTGATTTGATGTGTTTGATCAAATATGTTAGAATTCTTGTTGTGATAGATCATGCAGAATTGGACTGATAATAGATTTTCAAGCATTTATTATGATTTTTAGTACTGCGGAGAGCGCAGAACATTTCGACAAGCAGTATTTGCACACCTAAAGAATGTCATAATATTTTTATGCGTATATGAGTATTTTATACTATAGATTCGGTTGGCTATGTAGCGTATTGATTGTGGGCGATTGAAGATAAAATGGTATATAACTCATTCGAATATAAATACGCACACAAGACAAACTGCTTCAAATCGTGCGAAGAGGCTTTTTTCATTTGGAGAGCCAGTCGATCTGAAATTGTTTATGTGGTCTGTCAAGTTCAAGGGGTAGCTAGACCCTTGCCTGAAGGTGTAGCGGTGTTACGGTGTATGGAACATAGTGATTATATATTTTTATTACTAAGGATATTACTAAAAGGTGGGGGGGGGGGGGGAGAGGAAGGGGATGGTGAGTGTGAGTGTCCCTGATGGTCTCCAGTCCTGTCTCATATGCAGGTCCGCCTTATAACAACAACAGCGGTTAGGGCGGGGTAAGACATTGCATAACAACAAGTGATGTTACTCAATATTACCCAATGTTAGGCAATCTGATGAAATGATCTCATGACATCTCCGCTTCTACAGAAAGCTCGTCCTCGAGCTTCTTAACAGACTGGTTGAGATACTGATGGTGGTTGTCGTTGAGCTTGTCGCTCAGCTAGCGATTTGAACATAGTGGAGGTGGGATTAGGTGAGCTGTTGGCGCAGCTACGACCTTTTCCTCCTCCGGGTGGTTTAGGAAGCTCGTCCTCGAGCGGGAAAAAATGATGGTTGGTTGAAGATTGATGATGGTTAGTGTGAGGTTTTGTCGTTGTTTTAATTTCGAGAGGATGGGATCGCGTGTATGTAGGGGGAAGGGTCGTCGGCTCAAAGAAGTTTCTATTTTTAAGCGACAGTGCGCGGAAAAGTAGAATGAAATTCAAACATACAACTGTTCAAGAGAAGTAATGCTCTCCACGATTACAGTTCTTCAGAATCTGTACTGTCGTTTTCGATTTTCTGACTGTGGAGTTCTAAACTTGTACGGCGAGAGGTTGCTCATCATCTTCTGATGTTTCTATTATGTGAGGTGATGGAGTGGTTGAGGTTGGTTCGGAAACATTAGCTGATGAAGAGCAGGGACAATAGATCTTAAGTCTATTGATATGTACAGTTTGAGTGGATCTGGAGCCAATCAAACTTTGAATGGTAACATTGGGACGACTAATCCTTGTTACTAGAAAGGGGCCTTTCCATGGAAGGTAAACTTGGGGCGTATTCGTTCTTCGTGTAAGAGTACGAGGTCTCAAACAAAAATATCTTTTGAGAAAACCTTATGCTGAAAATCATATCCTGCTTTGTAAATCAACCGCAAGCGCCACACTTATGCGAATAAATCACCGCTTTTCACGTTCAGCGCTACCAACAGTAGCGATAAATTTTCTCCGACGCCGAGCCACATGTGGCAGCAGGCGAAAATATTTCGCCATGCCACCACTTCCATTACACCATGAGCGCCGACCAACAAACCCTAAAATAATCGGGCAACTGCTTTGCCCTCACAGAGCACCATTACTCAAGCTCCGAACATATGGCCGTAAATATCAAAATATCTGGATGAACACTCACAAATAATGACAAGACTCCTCCAGACAAATTATTAGTTATTCACATTTCTTCCCAAACTCTACACAACCAACAATCAAATTCAATAAGAAAAAATTGCCTGCTTCGCTTTAAAAAATTCAAAACAATACACCTTCACAAAATTCCTTCATTGAACAATACATTCACACATCTACAACTAATTATAAAGTATTGCTAAACATTGATTACTTTAGTACATATCAAAGCCGGCCACGTTTCTCACTAAGTCGGGCAGTTAGGCCATTATCGGCCACGTTAACTAGCAATAGTGAGTTGGTGGTACCTCTTGCAAGCGTTTCCACGAAGGCTTTGTCCAGCTTCAATTTTTCACCATTTTTCGTAATTAACAAATCGCCGAAATGTAGAATTATGAAGGTCCTGTCCGCTATACTTGGGGAAATTCGAAATTTTTTTCGAATATTCGAATATCGAATATATTCGAAAATTGAAAATTTCGAATATTCGACTTTCGAATATTATTCGAAAATCGGAAATTTCGAATATTCGACTATCGAATATTATTCGAAAATGAAAATTTCGAATCGAATAATATTCGAATATCGAATATCATTCGTTATTCGAATTTCGAATATCATTCGGTCCTCGAATGTTATTTGATTTTCGAATATCATTCGATTTTCGAATACTGATCGAGTAATTTACATTATTGAGACTGCCTACGAAAGTATAAAACATCTAAGAATAAATTGTTTCATCCAAATGTTAAGAATGGTCACTTTCTTATGTTACAATTTACGATGGAAAAACGGTTTAGTCGTGACGTGAAGAGACTTAGGAACCTAAAAGCTATTCCTGGTGACGGTTATGCAGAGATTTTTCGTACTTCAAAGAAGATTATATACCCTCACTGAGAGTTGCGATTGGATATACAGCGGTCCCAAGAGTATGTAGATCTGTAGGCTGACATCAACTTAGAGTATGAGGCGACTTATCAATCGCTTTTCATTGTTATCAAGTTACCTTAAGATTGAAGCGGGTTTTGAAACATCAAGAGCCATTTCCCCAAGAAAAAGAATCAAAAGGGCCGAAGTCTTGCATTAGACTTTTAAAGACATCGCTTTATGTAGAATTTGCACTCAACCGTAATGCTTTTTCCAAAACTCACTCCAGGTATACTGTAACAAGTGTTTTGCAATGCCTCTCAAAAATGTGATTGCCATTTAAAAAGCTTAAAAACTCGTACGTAGTAAAATCAGCATACGTAAAAACACTGCTGCACAAATTTTGGACCTTTTTTGGGGACAATTTTTTTGGATGTCTTATTTTGCAGTTGGTCTATATGCTGGAATTTCCTACCGTGATAACACACAACAAGAAAAACATGGATGATTCGCTTTCTGCTGTATTTATAAGGTGAAGCCATTCCTACTGGATGTTACCCAGAAATTGGCAAAAGACTTTGAGAGGTATTAGCGATCAAACGGTGTGTAGATACTTTTAAGACACCCCGTATACGCTTTGCAAATCGAATTTTCGAATACTCGGTGCTTATCAAATTTTCGATTAGTCAATTCTTATCGAATTTCCGAATATTCGGTGTTCAACGAATATTCGAATATTTGATGGACATCGAATTATCGAATGAATGACCCTCGAATATTCGACTACCGAATAATATTCGAAAGTTAAGAGTTTCGAATATTCGACTTTCGAATAATATTCGAAAATGAAGATTTTCGAAAATTCGACTATCGAATATATTCGAAATCTGAAAATTTCGAATATTCGACTTTCGAATTTTATTCGAAATCTCAGACTTTCGAGTAATCGACTTTTCGAATCATTCGCATTCGAATGATTTATTCGAATGATCGAATAATTATTCGATTCGGTCCCAAGTATACTGTCCGCCTTTCAATTTGTTCCATTACGCACATTGAACTGCTCACTATGAGTATTATGTAGAACACCTATAATAAAATAAATTACCATGACTAATAAAGAGAATTTTTTCACTAACTTACAGGAGAGCGTAACATGTTCACCATCACTATTTAAAATCATGATGGCAACATGAACCATGTTGTTTGATTGAATTTTCAACCAGGTCTCTTGCACCTCCCTTCTAATCAAAGAAGATAGTACGATCTCTTCCCCATAGAGCGCCTCCTCCAGTAGTGTTTGAGGTTGACGTACAAGCTCTTCGTTGTACAAGAATAGACGCCTAGTTATGCAGATCCTCGTTCAACTCGAGAACCTCCTGGAAAACAAGCGCTTATATACAGCATCACACTTCTTTAACATCACCTTATTCAAATTCATATTCCTCCTACGTTCCACAATTCTGGCCTTTTCAGCGGCCTCCGTCTCACGCATATTTTTGGCAAATAATATTCTAAAGTGCACTTGGCACTCCTCGTAATTTTTCTGAAGTTCGGCACACTTTAAACACGGTGGTGGGCGCTCCGCACTCAGTTCCTCGCTCACGCCTGGCGATTTCCAAATCAGCTATCGCTCTGGCTAATTCAGCTTCTAGCTTTGCGACACAAGACTAAAATAAATAAATAAATAAGTTCCATCTCATAATTCATTAGATCATAACTCACTATCCAATCCTTCTTTACAACAGGTAGCCTTGGTGACGAGGCACGACTGTTGTCGGAATTATCCTGTGCAGGAGCGCATGCCTCCTCCTAAGAATCAGGAGTGCAAGTGCCTCTCGAGTTTGCGGGAGTACCGGCTCTTCTGGGCACACTGGGTACGGGCGAAGGCGAAATACAAATTCGTCCAAAAGGCATTGCTTATCTTAGAAAAAATCTGTTTTTATCCGCAAAACAACTTTTTTTGAGTTAGTTTAGCTGGTAAAGAAGAAAAAGGAAAAAATTGTGGTCAACAACAAATAGGCTTGATATGCGTGTAAATTTGCTAAGAATACTTCTATAAGTAGAGAAAAAATATCGGAATATTGCTGTTACGATTTGGGTTCTTTCTACAATATGTAAATAGTTTATTATAAAGTAACTCGCCCGCAGGACTTTTTTTTATTGGCAATCTTAGGATTGCAGTTTATTATAATATATAGAATTATTAGTAAAACTATAATTGAATATGTAGAGGAACTTACGCATTTCGTTCGAACTTCCTTAGTGATCAGATAAGAAAGGGGAAAAAGACATAGGGCGAAGGGATATAGGAGGGTGGGGGAGGGGGTAAGATTTGTTTAAAAAAAAACGAAAGAGTGGGTTTGTTCAAATCAAAAAAAAATATTCTAAAGAAGGAATCCTAGAGAAAAATCTCTCCGGAACCTCCATGTCAAGTTCAAGGGGTAGCTAGACCCTTGCCTGGAGGGGTAGCGGTGTTACGGTGTATGGAACATAGTGATTATATATTTTTATTACAAAGGATACATTACTAAACAATAGAGGTGGGAGGGGGGGGGGGGAAGGGGATGGTGAGTGTGAGTGTCCCTGATGGTCTCCAGTCTTGTCTCATATGCAGGTCCGCCTTATAACAACAACAGCGGTTAGGGCGGGGTAAGACATTGCATAACAACAAGTGATTTTACTCAATACTAGCTGGCTTACCCGGCTCCGCCGTATCCGGACCAAACTTGGCACACATACACTTCGGGCCCCGGCGGGTGTCACAGTCCACTTTTCGTTATCGATCGATGTCGATTTTATCGATTTTTATCGATTTTTTTGCTGAGTTCACCTACGGGGCTGGGAGTTGGCACAGGGGGGTAATCGAGCATGGGGATTCCGAATACAATATTGGTTTTCAGGATTATCGATTACTTTTATTGATTTTATCGATTTTTTTTGTAAATTTTGACATGCGAGGCTGGGATTTTGCACAGGGGGGTAATCGGGCATGCTGATTACGAACACAATATTAGTTTTCAGGATCGTCCATTACTTTTATCGATTTTATCGATTTTTTTGTAAAGTTTGACCTGCGGGGCTGGGAGTTTGCACAGGGGGTAATCGAGCATGCAGATTACGAATACAATATTAGTTTTCAAGATCGTCCATTACTTTTATCGATTTTATCGATTTTTTGAAAATTTAAGCTAGGGGGCTGGAATTTGGCACAGGGGTATAATCGAGCATGCTGATCACCCCCCTTGGGGATGATCAGCATGCTCGATTACCCCCTGTGCCAACTCCCAGCCCCCTAGCTCAAACTTTGCAAAAAAATCGATAAAGTCGATAAAAGTAATCGATAATCCCGAAAACCAATGTTGTATTCGGAATCCCCATGCTCGATTACCCCCCTGTGCGAACTCCCAGCCCCGTAGCTCAAACTTTGCAAAAAAATCGATAAAATCGATAAAAGTAATCGATAATCCTGAAAACCAATATTGTATTCGGAATCCCCATGCTCGATTACCCCCCTGTGCCAACTCCCAGCCCCGTAGCTCAAACTTTGCAAAAAAATCGATAAAATCGATAAAAGTAATCGATAATCCTGAAAACCAATATTGTATTCGGAATCCCCATGCTCGATTACCCCCCTGTGCCAACTCCCAGCCCCGTAGGTGAACTCAGCAAAAAAATCGATAAAAATCGATAAAATCGATATCGATCGATGACGAAAAGTAGCCTATGACACGCGCCGGGGCCCGAAGTGTATGTGTGCCAAGTTTGGTCCGGATCGGTTCAGAAATGGAATTTTCTATTCGGAACATACGTACACACATACATACATACAGACATACATACATACAAACAGACATTCAGCTTTATATATAAGATTACCCAATGTTATGCAGTCTGATGAAATGATCTCATGACAGGGCCGGTAGTAAACCTGTCGAAACGCGCAGCTCAAACTCAGAGTTAACTCAGAGTTACAGGGCTTTACAACCTGAGTGTCCCACCCGCCCCGCTAGGACGCCACGCTTAAGTCCGCGCAGCGTTCGTGGCGCTGGCTGCGCGTCGACTGAAGCTTGGCGAAATCCGGGCGATACGCAGCAAACGCCGCGTGCGGCCTGAGCGAGGCGGCCGCGTTGGAGGAGCCGCGCAAGCGAAACTTGCGACTCTCAGGTTGAAAAGCCCTGTAACTCTGAGTTAACACGTACCTTTCAGGGACCATTAACACTTGCATAAGCAAACCAAATTGGGGAAAGGGTTATATGACAGGATACCCCGCAAGACGTACTTTATGCCAAATATGGAAAAGTAGCGTAATTCGTTCCACGCGAGACGCTACGCGACGAAACGCGCAGCTCAGCTGCGCGTTAACTCTGAGTTTGGTGCGCGTTTCATGCTCGCGCGAAACTCGGAGTTAACTCCGAGTTTTGTTAGAGAAAGAGAAATAGTGTGTAAACACAGAGGTCCAGAAAAAAGTCCTCCGAGGTAGATTTTGCTCCGAGTTTCATGAAGCATGATGGGGCTATCATGGTGCACCGCTGAACACAAAATTGAAATTTTGTAAAATCTTGGTCCCGGGGGTTATCCGACGCGCTGATCACGAATACGATGCTCATTTTTCGCCATTCGCCCACATAAGGGGGTTACGGTAGGGATACGGTAGTTGGGCGATAGTCATATTTGCTGAAACTTGGTACACTGGGGTTATTTCGCATGCTGATCACGAATATAACGTTCGTTTTTCGCTACGGGGCCACGGAGCGGGATTACGGTAGGTATACGGTAGTTGGGCGAAAGTCACAAAATTGCTTGAAACTTGATACAATGGGGATATTTGGCACGCCGATAACGACTATGACAGTCATTTTTTGCCATTCGCCCACGTAGCGAGGTTACGGTAGCTATACGGTAGTTGGGCGAAAATTACTAAGTCGAGTGCACATTGGCATTGTGGGGTTTCTTGGCACGCTGATCACGAATCCGATGCTCATTTTTCGACATCCGCCCACATAACGAGGGTACGGTAGGAATACGGTAGTTGGGCGAAAATTATGAAATTGACTGAAGCTTGGTCTGGCGGGGTTATTCGCTGCGCTATTCGGATGTGGTAAACATTTTTCACTGCGGAGAGATAGAGCAGGGTTACTGTAGGAATTTGGTGAAAGCCAAAGTCCCATAAAAGATTCAAAATTGGTTGGCTCAGTGGCTCGCGATGTGTTGGTCAGATCACATTGCACGTTTTTCACTACAGCGGTTTATAGCGGAGAAGAGATACGGTAGACTACCCAAAATCACAGGATTTCATGAAAGTTGGTTTCGTTAACTCCGCACGTTAATGGAATATCATAGTTGCTTGAAAATACCTTTCAAAAAGGGTTTTCGATGGTAGATGGATAAAAAATCTCACTTAGAACTCTTGTTTTAGGGGAAGTTTAGCTAAGTACTTAGTTACCAGTGACGATCGCAGGATTTCCGTCCGGGAATGGGGGGGGGGAGGGGGGAGGGGACAAAAAATTTTTCAAGTGAAGGTGCATAGCGTTAGTCACGCACTCCGACAATTTTTCGGGGTGCTTCTTAACATTTTTTGCTGGCCCATACCCTTAAATTTTAGCAAAAGGGAGCGTCAGCAGCAGCAGCTACGCCCCCAAAAAATTTTTTACAAGGCTAACTTGAATCTTTAGAAATTTTAAAAGATAATTTTGTTATTTACAAGAGCGAACAAGTCATTTGCACATTTTTATGACACAGTAAGTAAATTTCAAAAATTTCGCGACCCCTCCCGGGGAGAATGAAGCCTCCCCTTCGTCCGCCACTGTTGGATACTTACTACTTCTCTTCTACTGCAAGACTATTGTTATTTTCTACGGTTGTTAGGTTACTGTCGATGTCCATGTTTTATCCTGTTTTTTACTTTTCCTACTTTTTTGAGAATCTTTAGGATATATTAGGTCGTTTCAAAAGTAATTTCGCTTTTTTCAAACGGGCACCACATTTGGCGGAACAAAGATTTTTAAGAGATCTTGGAAGCGTTCGATCCAGAATTTCATTCTCTTTCTAATGGTTATAAAATTGTTGCAAAAAATCAATGAGCTTTCAAAAAATATCCAAAATCTGCAACCAATGCTTTTTGAGATGGTCAAGTTTCACAGTTTTTAAAACTATCATATCGATCCTCAGAAGGAGCTCAAGTAACGATTCGATAGAGTAAACCTTATAGAATACAATACTGCTTTTTTCTCCTTTCCATAGCTTGTCATACATTTTTAACAGAATTTTAACTGATGTTACCGATTTCCATACTTGAGCAGCTAGATCCTTGTAGAACATCAAAAGAAGAGCAGCTCGCGCACTATTCGATGCAGCATTTACTCCTCTTTCTAACAGGTAATTTTTTTGTTCCCGGTTCGTTTAGTTACCGGGGAAAAATCATCATAACTCATTTTATTAACGAGCCCCAGGCTGTACCGGAAAAACTCGAAATTTGATATTTTGAATCCGTAAGCTCTCACTTGCATTGTAAAATTAATATTAAGTCATATACCATCTTGGAAGTTTCAAATTCCGAATAATTAACGTTTTTTGCTGCGATTGTGGCTGACGTAGGCCTGCCAAAATTCGATGGTTTTGTTGAAAAATCCTTAAAAAAATTACGGCAAGCTAGAAAAAAGAGGAAAAAGCAGTATTGTATTCTATAAGGTTTACTCTATCGAATCGTTACTTGAGCTCCTTCTGAGGATCGATGTGAAAGTTTTAAAAAATTGTGGAACTTGACTATCTCAAAAAGCATGGGTCGCAGATTTCGGTCATTTTCTGAAAGCTCATTGATTATTTTGCAACAGTTCCATAACGATTAGAAAGAGAATGAAATTCTGGATCGAATGCCTCCAAGATTCCTTAGAAACCTTTGTTCCGTCAAATGCGGTGTCCGTTTGAAAAAAGCGAAATTACTTTTGAAACGACCTAATATTATGGCTAGGCACCAATAGCGGATTGAAGGGGGCGGGGGGTGAAACTTACCTACATGGATTATAAAAATGTGCAAATACTTGTTTATTTTTGTAAACAATCAAAATAATTTTTAGAATTTTTTTAAAAATTCATATTAGCCTTGTAAAATTTCCGGGGGCTTTAGACCCGCAAGAATTTTGAGATGCACCTCAAAAAAGTTTTCGGAGTGCGTGGCCGACGCCACGCACCATTTATTTGAAAAAAACTTTTGCCCCCCCCCCCCTCCCGGAACCGCCCTGTGACTGCCACTGCTAGGCACCTCAGGCAAGCCTAACGCCTCTCCATGTGTCTTAACATGTGAAATCTTGATTACGGGAATTCACTAAGCAGTTGCAGCAATTGTGCAATAGTGGCTCTTTAGCCTAACGGTTTCGAAGTTCGAGTCCCAACTTAGTCGCAGCGTTTTGCGATGGAGCATGTGGCGGCTCCTCAACAACTAGAGCGGATCCTCAACTAGCAGAGCGAAACTCCGAGTTTCAGAAACGAAACTCGCAGTTAACTCTGAGTTTCAAAACGAACCTCAGAGTTAACTCTGAGTTAACGCGCAGCTTTAAACTCGGAGTTTCGACCAGATTACTACCGGCCCAGATCTTGTGGCAAGGGATCACTCACATGGGGTGGGGGAACGAAAGCCGCCAGGTCCAGCCGCCTCCGCGGACTGCTGGTCCTGGAACGACATGCAACAACGCTGCGAAAGGACCAGCTGGCCGCGAAAGGCGGCTGGACCTGGCGGCTTTCGTTCCCCCACCCACTCACATGAGAACAGAGCATAGAAGCTAGCCATGACCGAACGCGCATTTCGTAGCGAAACGCGCGAGCGCGGCTGTTGGACGCCCATCATCACTGAGCACATGGAGTATGGTGCTCATACCGTCCAAAATTGGTTATTTGAAAAAATTCAGCTTGAATAAGTGAGAATGATGGTACCGCTCTTCATGGTAAGATTCTATAAAATATAACCAGCATATGGAGCTCTAATCTCTTTGAAAGCGGAAGTAGTCCAAAAAAGAGAATGAGAAGAATTACAGCGAGTAAGTCACAATCAAGAACGAAGCCCCCCCCCCTCCTTCGCGTTGATATCTGGCGTTTTCATGATAAGACTAATCAAAGAACGGCATGGAAATGGAGGGCATAGTAGGACACCACTGGCGTCTGTTGAGAACAAAATCACCGCACTCCCCGGAGTTCGCCGAACTTCGAATCGCAGCGTCATACCCTATTTCATAATAAGGATAAAGGATTCGGCGTCTTCAATACCCTCCGCGGGCATGCGCCGAACGCACACTACTTCTCGAAGAGGCAAATGTGTGCGTGCAAGCCCATTACAGTGATTTGCGGGGGCCAGCGGTTTCCAAGTCAGTGCTTTTATACTTCAATACCCTATTTAAGAGTGGACAAACGCTAAATTCAAATGCACCACTCATCTCAGCTCAACGAGTTGCATTTTCTGATATATATATATATATATATATATATATATATATATATATATATATATATATATATATATATATATATATATATATATATATATATAGGATTGCCTGTTTGGGCACCATAGTCAGTCAAATTTCACCGATATTCTTAGCTTTTTGCTCGGTAGGTTGCTCAGAGCGCCTATTCTTTGCACAAGGAGTAATTTATCTAAAAACTGGAAGGACCGGTGAAATTTGACCGATTACCGTGACCAAACAGGCACTTCTGTATAGCAGATGATGATCTCGTACAGCTGAGTTCTCTGAAACGAATATGGCAAAGTCTCAAAGTCTTTTCATAAATCACTAGCGGTCTCGTAGTTGATACGGCTTACACGTCGTATTCCTTTGAGAAAGAAAGCGCGAGAAATCAGCTTCAGAGGTCACAATCAGGCCTCATATGATAGCAAGATGAATCTTGAGTATCCTGGTTGCATAGTAGTCATTCAATTGTCTGGTTTTCGGAATAAAACATAGTAATTTTCGTCCGTTCCAGGAGCACAGCACAGACATCCACTTATAGAAAACATCCAGGTGGAGTAGAGGTGCTTTTGAGTGTGTTCCTCATTTCTTGATTCAGTTATAAATAGAGGGTTGTAGGACCCATGCCTTTTATAATGTTGTTCGGGAAAAAGTGATAGCATTTCCAACCGAAATTTCTTTTACATTAGCTATCTGAGCTTTTCTGCGCTTAACCTTCTTCAATCCATTTCTGGCATGAAGGCTCAGGAAAGCAAACGTTTATCATCCCCGAAGACAAGCCTCCCACCATAGTCATCAGAGACATCTCCCACTTATATTTAGCTTCTTCATCTTAATTGGAAACGTCCTCATCATTCTATCTGGCCATTACTCCATATATAGCACGTCATGCCAATATTGGCTCTAATTGTCTACGAAGACGTTATCACCCAAATATCTAGATCGCACCAGATGGCTTTCGTTGGCTATATCGTTTTTCTCTGTAAAGTGAAGTGTCGTAAGATCTAATCACATTTTTGGATGCTCAAGGCGTCATATTGTAATGTCAAACTTGATGGCACGCAAAGAATCCATTTCTTGTAACATTTGACTTTTAAGCAAGACCTTGATGCTATTTTTGAAAAAAAATTATTTTACAATTTCAAAAATGGATAGCTCTTGAAAAATTTTTGAGATAAAATTGGATACTAAGAAGCTTTCCAGAAACTTCTACCAGAAGAATGAAGTCAGCTACTTCTCAATCAGAAGAGCCACTTGCTTTTCCTTCTTCTCTAACCACAAATAATTTTATGAGTGACATAAATGCAAAATCTAGACTTCATGCTGATATTCTGCTTGACAAAAGATCGGCTGTTTTTAACCAACTTCATGGCCAAGCAGATTTTTATGGCATCGGCGCCTAAAGTTGTGACAGAAACGTTTTTTAGATGCTCAATACATATGCTAGTTTCACTAGATTAAACTCGAGATATTCCAAAATTCTGGATGCTGAAGGCAAATTTTGTGTGGGTAAAGGCGAATTTCATGCAAGAAAACGCGCAGAAATAAGTTCTCCTCGAAGAGATCATTTCCACTGGTCTTTTCCGTTTTTTTTCTGAAAATGAGATAGAGTTTGTTGCTTTGCTGAGCAAACGATTTTCTACGGATGTTCTGGAGGTAAATTACAAATTCTGAGGTGCCATTTTTAGATTTTATTTATTTACTTATTTAATTATTTATTTCATACACGTAAGCATGTGCCAAAGCCTGGATGAGTGACGAAAATATTGCTAGAGTAAGAGACTAGACTGTCACCTTTCACCAGAACAAACAAACAGCGAATAAAGGCTTAGGTGTTGAGGAAGAAAACTTTCCATTTGGTCAAAGGAGGCCAGGTGATTGGCATTGGGGATTGCCACTGCCACTTTTCCGGGCTGTCCAAAACGTCTGCGATTGGTTCCTGCCAGGTGTCTACCAACCTGACACCACCGACGCTTGGATACACCTGCCTTATTCTGGGAAAGCCGTGCATGAAACGCAGCTGTTTACGGTTTCAAGGCACAATGCTGTTGCTCAATCCGAAAGTGGGTGACAAGCCAGCACAGCATGGTTAGTGAACACGATAAATCGAGAAACACGAACACAACAAATCGAAAAGAAAAAAAACATGAAATCGTGAAACGACGTAGTAGGAAAGAGCTTCACGAAAGCGGCCGTCGTAAAAGCGATGTGGGGAAAGCAAAGTCCGAAACACATGAGTCGACAAGCGAGGGCCAGCAAGAAATAGACCAGAAACAGGCAAACCTGTAATGAAAACAGACCAGGGACAATAATCACAGAGAATTGTTCAATAATTGGCATATGTCAACTTTCCTCAGTTTCCTTTTTTTGGAAGCTTCACAGTTGTTAGCACTCAAAACTTCGCGAGGTATGCACCGTAACCTTCTAGCTCCCCGACAAAAAATATGATTGAATAACAGGTTGGCATGTTTCCTCTCAACCTTTGGGTAATGCGAGTTAAAACCACTGTGTCTATTGTAAGCAGGCATAAAGCTAGTAATCGCTGGAATTCAACTTGACTTCACGTTTCAGAACTGTGAAGCAAAACAAGATTTAGCTCTTCTGCAAACAAGAGATTCAAGTCCCAGCTTTTTTAAGCGGTCATGATAACTCAGAGCGGAACAATCGGGGATACATCTCCTCATCACAATTCTAGTAAAAACTTTCTGAACTCTTTCAAGCTTTTTAATATGTTTAGCTTTACACGGACTCCAGAGTTGTGAGCAGTATTCAAGTTTAGGTAAAACAAAAGATTTATAAAGTCGTAACATAATCGTTGGATTATCCGTGTGGACATTTCAAAGTATCCGGAAGACCGAGACAAATGCCTTGGTAACAGTCTCATTGATATGCTCCGTAAAATCCAGAGACATTGAAACGTACACCCAAACCATAGATGAACTACTCTGTCTCAAGTCCACACCATTCAACACGTCTGCTTTTGGCACCGCCTAGGTGCATAGAAGAGGATTTTTCAAGGTTGATCGGTAAGCACCAAGCAGAGGCCCGATCTGTAAGTCTACATAGCGATGCTTGCAGAGCGGATCTTACCTCCTGAGAGTTCTCATCCCCCATAAATCCCATGAATCTTTATATCATCAGCGTACAACTTGACTTCAATGTCTGTGGACGTGATGATAGCACTTGGCACATCAATTGTATAAAGCAGAAACAAAAGTGGGAAGAGGACACCCCCCCCCCCTGAGGTACTCCACTGGTGCATATGTGCCTTTGCTAGTGGCAATGACCACTCTAACCGTCAGATGTCTGTCAGCTAGTTACGAGGCGAACCATTCCAATAATTTGCCATCTATACCCAAATACTTTAGTCTCCTCAGAAGTTTTCCGTGGCTAACTTTATCAAACGCCGGCAGGTCAACATAAATAACATCATTTAATTTTACCTTGTTCAATGCCAAAGCCCAATCAAATAAACTATCCGTTAGATTAGTAGGGGTAGACACCCCGGGAATAAAACCATGCTGTTCTATAGGAATAACATGAAACCTGTTGAGCCATTAGCTCTGGCCCTTATGATCTTTTCCATCACTTTCACTGGTGTAGGCAATAAACTGATAGGACGATAGCTGCTTATCTGGTTTATACCGGAAACCTATGGAATAGCCGTCACAATGGCTTCCTACCAACACTGAGGCACCTCACTTAGCAGCATCGATATATTGAATATATGGGCAAGCGGTGTAGCCAGAGCAGATGCACATTTTCTATAGATGATCTGCGGTATCCCATCATAAGTTCCAGTTATGGACGTTCTGAGTTTCCAAAATAGTGTAAACTTCAGAAGGATGAAAGAAAACATCACTCAAATGAAGTGGGACAGGAGACAATCCATGCAAAGGGTTGTTTCCATTAGGAGACAATCCATGCAAAGGGTTGTTTCCATTAAAATTACCACTAGTAAAAACATTCGAAAAATAATTAGCTAAAGCATTTGCTTTATCAAGGTTAGAGACAAAAGTTGCACCGGAACTGTTCATCAAAGTGGAGAGCTTGCCATTGGCTTTCATCATATCGTATATAGGAGTACATAGGTTTCATGTTATTCCTAGAAGCTGGTTTACGCTCCCGGTAGGCAAGGTATTTTCTCATGTGGGCATCAATGTCCCGAAAGACTTTCTTTTAGAAAGAGCGGATAGGGCAGCTCATGGAAAAGTCTCTGCTTCTGCATGCTGAGGGCTTGCAGTTGCTTCGGGATTTTGACTATTTAGTTTGGTTCTAGCAAACTTTCCTGCCTTAACTTCGCATCCATGCAAAGTCGTTTTGGAGCTGGCTGCCCGAAAA